ACAATGAATAATATCCTGGAAAGAACCGAAGAAGCTTCTTGGATGAGAAGCGAAATGTCTTTAAGGAAAAACAAAAGGAAGTCCAGTTGCTTTTTGAAAAAGCATCTTTGGCAAAACCATGACCTGGATGATGGAGAAGCTCCATAAATACTCTGGAGAAGTTTATCTGCGTTCATTGTACAGACAATTTTAAAGATTAAGATTCTGTTTTTTATGATTAATGGATAATCAGATAGAAAAAAAGGCACGGAAGATTATTTAAATCTAAAAGAAAAGGCTAAATTTATTAGATGCATAGAGATGGAAAGATTTGACACCACACATACTATGGAAGAATGGTTGGTGAAGTTGAAGTTGACCGATTTTGCTGACATAAATAAATTAAATTCTTTGATTAGAGAAAAGACATTATCTACATTCGTTGCTGACTGGAAGCCTTCATTTTGCGTAAAAATGAAAAAAATGAATTTCTGACATCCGGTTTTCATTGTTAGACAGGATAAATTATAGAAAGAAGAGTAATACGATGTAACTTTAGAGAGGTTAACTGTATTTGTACTTAAGTCTACTGTAAAGACTATCACAGCATAAAGAAGCCACTTTATATATATATTTTCTTTTATGTCTTTCTATTTTTCTTCAACTTTTTTTCTTTCCTTGCACGTTTTCCTCTTTTTAGATTTTTTTCTTTTTATCTTTCCTTCCTTACTGTCTGTAATGCCAGATATGTACCAATGTGAATTGTTTCATTCCTTTGTTACTTTGAGAGAGACCTGCGTTTTCTTTTATCGTATATCATCAATACAAATGTTTATTTTGGTAAGCTTCTGGCTCATTCTGAATAGTACATTCATCTCCTTTAAATGTAATCAAAAAATCCCTTTTCTGTGAAATATCTCACTGACACAAATTCTCTTTCTGAATATGGAATATTGGCCAGTGTATTTTGAATGCCCCAGTTTTCATTACCTCATTTAAAATTACGTCGTCCAATTTATCTTAGCTTTAATATTGCTAATAATGTGATATTAAACATCATGCAATCGGAAGAAATAACAAAGGCTAAATTTACCTCTTACCCTTCATCAAACTGTGTTCTAACCACACCAAGTTCACAAAGGTGATGTAGCCATAGTAATTTCTAATACTCTAGCCCAGGGGTAGGCAACCTTGGCTCTTTTATGACTCGTGGACTTCAACTCCCAGAAATGGCTCAGGAATTCTGGGAGTTGAAGTCCACGAGTCATAAAAGAGCCAAGGTTGCCTACCCCTGCTCTAGCCCAGGTGTGCTCAGCCTTTTCTTCACCACCACCCCTTTAAACACCCGTTGAGGCCAGTATAGTTATATTATCACTGTTATCAAATTGGGTAAAGAAACAAGGTCTTAATTTTAATCAGTATTTATGAAAACCTTGGATGTCGGTGACATTGGTCCTTTTTAAAGCTCTTCTGATTGGCTTTTATCTCAAAAGCAGAGAAGTAGAAAACAACAGAAACATTCCTAATTCTGTTTCCTGGTTTATCCTTCCATTATCTTAAGCCGTGGCTGCTCACTGGGCACCCTTAACAAAGTGAGATGACATCCCTGTATTTCCTCGCCAGGCTGGTCTTTCTGGTTTGTTGCGGGTCACCAGGACCAAATCAAAGCGACTGGGGGGCTAGTCACACTCAAGGCGTTTGACCGCCTTGAACAAAGAGCAGTTTGGGCTGCCGTTTTCCAACATGACTTGAAAATGTGCTAAAAAAAAGATGGCTTTTTAAACGTTATTTTGACCTGAATCATTTTCATATTCTCCTTACGAAATTTGGAGAAGGTGATGCAGTTTCGTTTTTACTTTGTGCCGAAACGAATACGTAGAACGCTGGGAGCATGGCTCATCAGGCTATGATAAGCTTGGAACACCTGGATGTTAGAATTGCAAAGAGTGCCCAGTGTTCCTCACCCGTGACAACTTTACGATGGGAGGTCTTCAACTCCCAGAATGCTGATGGGGAATTCTGGGAGTTGATGTCCCCCCTCCCATTTTAAAGTTGCTAAAGTTGAGAAACACTGGCCTAGGATACTGTATGGAGTGATGGGTGTGTGTGTGCTAACATATTTTATTTATTTATTTATTTATGAGACTTATATACCGCTTTAAGTGCAAGCACTCTCTAAGCGGTGTACACCAGTAAGCAATGTATATATATATTTACATTGCCCCCAACAATCTGGGTCCTCATTTTCCTACCCCGGAAGGATGGAAGGCTGAGTCAACCTTGAGCCGGTGAGATTTGAACCGCTGACCTGCTGAACACAGTCAGCTAAAGTGGCCTGCAGTACTGCACCCTAACTGCTGCGCCACCTCGGCTTTACATCAGGGGTCCTCAACCCCCGGTCTGTGGATCGGTACCAGGCCGCGGCAGGCCAGCAACCTGTCCGCACAAACAAGCAAAGCCCCATCGCAGGATGTAGGCAGCACACAAAACCACACACTCTCCAGTCCGTGGAAAAACCTCCCTCCACGGAACCGGTCCCTGGTGTCCCAAAAGGTTGGGGGCCTCTGATTTATGGTACTGTCATTCAATGAAGACCTGGCCATTAATTGTCAGGTAGGGAGCAGGTCTTTTGAGACAAGCCGCTTTTTTTTTATCCGCATTATTTACAGAGGGACTGGAACCTCTTCATAGTATCATCATTGTACCGCACATTTTAATTTGGAAGGCATTTCACTCCCCCCTATTCTTTCCCCCCCCCCCTTACTTTGGAGGTAGAGGAAGTAAACGTTATGGGGAAGTTTCAGGGATTCAAGTTTGAAGCTGCTGATAAGGCAGCCTATAATTGGAGACATAATCAGCCAAGTGGAGGAAGCAGCCTGAGACAATTGGGTGTTCCTGCTGTGTCCCACTTAAGCCCACGAACAATATTATGACTTTTAGGCTTGGTTAAGATAGATGAGAAGAATTGGAAGAGCAGTTCAACTCCAGTCGTGTCTTGACAGGAAATAATGAACGGATGTGGCAGCTAAGAATGCAGCAATTTCCTGCCCATCCAAAGAGAAGGTATTTTAATCAGAACTCAAGTCTGAATCCATTCTGGGGTCCTTGCTCTTGGAGATCCCTCCTAACGTAGCCGTTTCTGTTAGCAGAATGGAATAGTTTGGCCCGAACGAGCAACGGTTATCGAGTTAAGTTGCCCTTGTTCACGTTGGTAGGGATTCAATTTATTTAATTTTTGTAGCTGCCCACCTCAAGCAAATGACTCTGGGAAACGAGGTGCGGTCGTCCACTCTATAACAGGAGTGGATTTTCAGAATACAGGTAGTCCTTGACTTACGACCACAATGGAGCCCCAAATTTCTGTTGTTAAGTGAGTTCTGCCCCATTTTATGACCTTTCTTGTCACAGTTGTTAAGTGAATCACTGCAATTGATAAGTTGTTGAGTGAATCTGGCTTCCTCATTGCTTTTGCTTGTCGAAAGGTCGCAAAAGGTGATTGCCTGACCCCGGGACACCGCAATCGTTGTAAGTGCATGCCAATTTCCCAGCGTCTGAATTTTGATCACGTGACCCTGGGGAGGTTATAGCGGTCATAAGTGTGAAAAATCATCCTAAGTCCCTTTTTTCAGTGCCTTTGTAATTTTGAACAGCCACTACATGAACTGTTATAAGTCGAGGGCTACCTGTACACGGGCAAGACCAAATTATTTATTTGATCTTTTTTTCTTCATATTTCTGTGCTGCTAAAATCCATAATAGGGATAGGGTTTCCTGCCTGAGCAGGGGGTTGGACTAGATGACCTCCAAGGTCCCTCCCAACTTTATTATTATTATTATCTTTCGCATTTTGGCATTTGTGCTCTACCAAGGGATCGCTTCTTCGTTCAAGAGATGGAGGGATGACTTTTCAGTCTGTTCAGAGCTTCCCATCCATCCTGTTGCTTCTTTTGTGCTTTCCTGGGATGCTAATTTATTCAACCTTTTTTTTTTAAGTGGCTTGTTTCCCCCCCTAGCCGCTTTGCTTTTGGGTAGAAAAACAGCTATATATTTCAGCATAATCAGACCGGTCTGACAATGTCCTGTCAGGGGAGGCGAGTGGAAAACACAATAGGGTAACAATCTGGTGTCTGCTTTTGTCTGTAAGTGTTGTGACCAGGTAATTGTGCAGCGAGATGTGCCAGCTTTATTCTCAGCAGCAGATACTGAGTGTAAAAAGGAGCCCTTGTGATGGGGGGGCTCCTGTGCATTTTACAGCTTTTAATTTCCTGACATGTTTGCTGGGGGGGGGGATAAAATAGAGTTAGCCCCAGGACTGCCCAGAGCAGCATCAAAGCATTCTGGAGATTTAGATCAGCTGACCTCTGTTACGTGATAGGCAGAGTTGACCTCTTGAGGGGCTAATCCAGGAGTCTGCGACCTGGACAACTTTAAGACTTGTGGACTTCAGCTCCCAGAATTCCTCAGCCAGCTGTGCTTTAAGTCCACAAGTCTCACAGTTGTCCAGGTTGCAGACCCCTGGGCTAAAAAGACCTTATTTCTTTACATCCTAGGTTCACTTAACAGCTGTGACAAGAAAGGTCATAAAATGGGATAAAACTCACAGAAATGTGGGGCTCAATTGTGGGCATCAATCAAGGACTATGCGTCTTTCTTTAATTATGAGTGGAAATGAAGATTCTGGATGCGTTAAAATGATCGCTGCCTTGCCACTATCCATAAAAGACGCTTTTTTTATATTATTCTAAAATTCAGCTCTTATCTGGGTCACCCTAGCCCTGTTTAAGGTCAACATATCTCAGCCGTGGCAATTTGGAAGACGTGGGACGCCAACTCCTAGAATTCTGAGAATCGAAATCCACACATCTTCAAAGTTGCCGAGGTTGGGAAACACTGTTTTCAACCACCTTACCATGCAGGCGGATAATATCTGGACATTTTGTTTTGTTTTTCTTCTTCTTTCTCCTCCTTTGGTTCTTGGCGATGTCCTTAATTAGCCCGTGTTTCTCTCCCATCCTTTCCAGGTCTTCTTAGTGGGCAAATGTCTCCGACCAACATTAAGCTAGAGAAGCTGGATTCTCAGCAAGTCCTCCAGCTGTGCCTCCGGTACCAGGACCACCTTCACCAGTGTGCAGAAGCCGTGGCCTTCGACCAGAACGCTTTAGTCAAGAGGATCAAAGAGGTGCGATGGTCTCCAGTAGATGCGGCTGCGACAGTCTCAGGGGGGCCAAGTACAGAATGATTCACGCACAAACCACTGCAGCCACTGAACTGGCTTGCATGCTTTGTGTGTCGTTCCACAAAACAAAAAACATTCAGGGCAGGGATACTGGTACTGGTGGGGGGGAGAATGGATGGGGGGGAATCTAAGGACAGCAGCAGCAGCTCGGGAGATTAAGGATAGGACAGATACTATAAATTTTGAGGAGTTTCTGCTCCCCTGAAAAATTGCTTCTTTCTTTCTTTCTTTCTTTCTTTCTTTCTTTCTTTCTTTCTTTCTTTCTTTCTTTCTCTCTCTCTCTCTCTCTCTCTCTCTCTCTCTCTCTCTCTCTCACACACCTTTCTTTCTGTCACCTTTCTCTTTTCTTTCTTTCTTTCTTTCTTTCTTTCTTTTTCTTTCTTTTCCTCTTTTCTTTCTTTTTTCTTTCTCTTTCTTTCTCCTTTCTTTCGTTCTCTCTTTCTCTTTTCTTTCTTTCTTTCTTTCTTTCTTTCTTTCTTTCTCTCTCTCTCTCTCTCTCTCTCTCTCTCTCTCTCCTTTCTTTCTTTCTTTCTTTCTTTCTTTCTTTCTTTCTTTCTTTCTTTCTTTCTTTCTTTCTTTCTTTCTTTCTTTCTTTCTTTCTTCATACCTTGGAAGAAAATACAAACTTTGGCTAAAATTCTTGCGTTCAGTGCCTGTGAATCAAATGGTTCTGAACTGTCTCTCTTCAGGGAGGGGAAAAGAATTTCTCTGCCAGCTCAAAGGTGGGCAAAGGTGATTAATGTAAATAAACCAAAAGCCCAAGTTTGCAAACAATAAACAATAAATGCAGTTTATACAAACTTTCTAAGTTTGAAACAAAGAAATTCATGTCAAGTTCGCTTGTATCAATTGAGCTGGATTTCTAAAATAGCCAAGAAGGTACATTGATTGTATGGAAAGGAAAAAAAAAAAAAAAAACCAGAGTAAGAAGAGAAGGAAGACAGTGCTTGATAAATTGCGTACTTGGGAGCAAAAGAAGGATTAGTCATCCTGATGCGCTGGAATGAGCCCAGCATTTGCTTTAATGATAAATGATCACTACACATACACCAGCTTTCCAGCTGTGTCTGCATCTAGGGTTTCTGAGGATGACTAATATGCTGTTATTATCGGAAGCAGAGGAGTTGAGAAATTATAGGCTTATAATACTAGGGTATAGAAAATATATAACGTCTCTCTATACTCTATAATCCAATTTTCTCTTGGAAAATTGCTTCCTATTTTATCCTCCTGGAGAACCCAGCTCTTCCAAGAGTTCATGAAGAGCGGCATGTCGGGCTGGAATAAGAGCAGCGGTTTACCTTCTCGGAAGGGGTTGAACTTTCAGAGACCGGATTTGATGCGGCTCCAAACCTAGAAAACCCCAGCATATTTACTGGATACTACTAGAGAGATCCTGCATAAAATAAAGATTGGATCAGTAATAAATACGTACATGATTAGAGTACTAATGGCAATAATTAAATTCTGGGGGAAACCAAGGTAGGAAAATTTATTTATTTACTTCTAAGAATTATATCACGGCCTATCTTGTAGCACAGAACTCTAGGTAGCTTGCAAAAATAATAAAACTGAGAAAACCAGGCCCCGGACTCTCAATGCACCCCCCCCCCGTCATACAATCCCCAGGCTCTAAGTTCTCCCTGACCCAGCACCTGGGGGAACACCCACCCTTTGTGACTTTCTGGGAGTGGGAGGCAAAAAAATGGGTAAAATTAGAATTGATTGCTAATTGGAAGTGTGGGCTGAGGAAGATGAAACAGGAGAGTGGTTCAGAAAACAGTAATTTTTATAGCAGCAGCTAGACCAGTGGTTCTCAGCCTGTGGGTCAGGACCCCATTTGGGGTCGAACGACCATTTCACGGGGGTCGCCAAACAACGCAGTCCGCCATTTTTTCCCCCTTTTCCTTAGCTGTGCTACTCCTTTTTATTCTATTGGCTTTTGAAAGCCAATAGAAGAGACTCTCTTGAATAGAGTCTAATTCTATTGGCTTTCAAAAGCCAATAGGAATTGCCCAGGCTGTCTCTGCCCTGCTGAGCCCGCCAAAAGCCCCATTCTGCAAACGGTGCTGCACCAGTTGAGTAGTCCTCGACTTACGACCGGTTGAGTAGTCCTCGACTTACGACCAGTTGGGGGTCGCGGCATTAAAAAGGTTGAGAACCACTGAGCTAGAAAATCCTGCTAGTGAAAGGAAGCGTTGATTAACTGATGGGTTATGTGCTATCAAGTCATTTTGTACTCCTAGGGATCACGTAGATCAGGGATGTCAAACTCGCAACTGTCACGTGAAGCGTCGCAACGTTTTCCCCATTGCCGGCAATGGAGTGGTGCGGTTTTGGCGTAACACATCCAGCCTGTAAGCCGGCAGTTTGACACCCTTGACATAGATAAAGGAAAGTTTCACAACCATTTATTGCAGGGGTCCTCAAACTTGGCCCTTTTATGATGAGTGTGTGTGCCTGGCTGAGGAAATCTGGGAGTTGAAGTCCACAAGTCATAAAAGGGCCAAGTTGGAAGACCTCTGATTTATCGAGTAAATGGATGGCCTTGGTTCTTTGTGACATATAGTGACATATCCATTGCCTTTTTTCCCCCTACTTAACAATAAAGCCCATAATTTTGGTTAGTAATTTCCAAACTGCAAGCAACCAGAGTAAAAAATCAGAGTATCTCATCAGCTCATGGGTTCACCCGAAAGATTGCTTATTGGATCTAGACCTATTTTTATGCTCAGACAAGCCTCTGCAGGACAGGTGGGCCCTTTGCCTAATGAGGTTACTCCCATTCAAGAATTTTTGTGGTCAAGGCTGGGCAGAGTTACCTGCCTTTTTCATCTCCCTGGGTTGAGTCCCACTTTCCAGACAGCTTTACATGGAACGGTTGCATTTTGGCATCCTCCAGGTAATGACTTTTATTGGAATTTCATGCTGCAAAAGCAATCTTTTTAAACTTGTCAGTTTGATGGGCTGGCTCCATCTCCCCCAATTCCCCTAAAGCAGTGTTTCTCAATCTTGACCATTTTAAGGCATGTGGACTTCAACTCCCAGAATTCCACAGCCAGCATTGCTGGCTGTGGAATTCTGGGAGTTGAAGTCCACATGCCTTAAAATGGTCAAGGTTGAGAAACACTGCCCTAAAGGCATTTGCTCTAGACAGAGGTCTCTAAAAAGGATACTTGTGAAATAAACCTGTATGGCTCTAATCATAATGTGTGGATTACCAGAAGTTGCAGAATATATAATAAGGTTACTTGAAGTTGTTACGCTTTCTTTGGAATCAGGGCCGTTTATATGGATTTTAGGACAAGAGTGCTCTGTCTTCCAGCTGCTTCATAGCAATCCAAGTCCATAAATATGTATTTAAATACATACATTATGCAATTAAAATACATTCTAGGATCAAGTAAAAATAAGAAATGGTTTCTTGCGAAGAAAAGATTGCATTTTCCACTTTAAAAAATTTAAGATGTAATATTTTTGCCTTTTGTGTTTTGTCTTTTTTTTTTTTTACAAAAGAAGCATTAAATTGTATTTTAAGGCGCAAAAGTGAGCAAAATGTTCTTTTTGTTGCCTCTTCCTCCATCCTTAAACAACTGAAAAAATCTTTGTTCCAAAGAGCAGAGGAAGTAGAGGAAGGGGGAAGGTAATAAAGGGAGAACAACTTTGTACGTGCCGATAGCCCTATTCCTTATCCTTATTCTAGTGGCTTTTTAAAAGTTATAATTCTTGGGTACCACATAGACATTCAGCAAGGGAATGCATTTGCTTAAATGGCAAGCATAGCTGCCCATCTTACGTGCCATAGCCCAGGCAGCTTCGATGATAAAACAATAAAATGAATAAAACCAAATTAAAGACTCCCTATGTCTCCAAACAATTCACCTCTAACGTTCAACAGGACTATTAAGGATCTGCTGGTTCTCCTGCGAAGAGTTTTTTTTCCAAAGGGCCACTGCTGAGATGGCACACTCCTGCGGTCCCACAAGAAGGCAATATTTAAGGGAAGGACCTGGAGCGTGCCAAGCCTCTTTGACCTGGTGGAACAGGCAGAACTCAAGGAGAGGCACCCCACAGATCAATTGTCTCCTGCCATTCAGGGCTTTAAAGACGATTGTGCCTTGAATTGCACCCGGAGTGTAAGTAGAAGCTAGTGGAATTCACACGGGCAAACTCTGCTTGCTTTGAGGACTGAGGAGGGGGGTCATTTCTGGATAGTCTTTGTGCTCATCCCCATGTAGAGAATTGCAGGAAGAGGATCTGTTAATGGTGATTTATTTATGAGACTTATTTATTTATTTATTTGTTTATGAGACTTATATACCGCTTTAAGTGCAAGCACTCTCTAAGCGGTGTACACCAGTAAGCAATGTATGTATATATATTTACATTGCCCCCAACAATCTGGGTCCTCATTTTACCTACCCCGGAAGGATGGAAGGCTGAGTCAACCTTGAGCCGGTGAGATTTGAACCGCTGACCTGCTGAACACAGTCAGCTAAAGTAGCCAACAGGGTCTCTCAAAACCCTCCCGGAGTTGTTTTGTCAGGGTTAGGGTCGCCATACAAGTTGTAGGAAGAAAGAAATTCTTTTTCTTGTCGGGAAGGGAATCATAATAACCCACGTCTGGCCCTGGTGGCGCAGTGGTTAAAATGCAGCATCGCAGGCTGACTCTGCCCACTGCCAGCAGTTCGATCCTGACTGGCTCAAGGTTGACTCAGCCTTCCGTCCTTCCGAGGCTGGTCAAATGGGGACCCAGGTGGTTGGGGGGGCAATGTGCTGACTCTGTAAAACCGCTCAGAGAGAGCTGTAAAGTATTACGAAGCGGTATATAAGTCTCGAGCACTAAGGGCTATTTTGGGGTTGTTGTTTTTTTTAACAGATGGATCTTTCCGTAGAGGCCCTGTACGCGTTAATGCAAGAGCGCCAGAAAAGGTACGCCAAGTACGCTGAGCAGATCCAGAAAGTCAACGAGATGTCCGCCATCCTCCGCCGCGTCCAGATGGGCATTGACCTCACCGTCCCGCTGATGGAGAGGCTGAATGGCCTGCTGCCGGAGAACGAGCAGCTGGAGCCTTTCTGCATGAAACCGGACAACAGGGAGCTCAGGTTGTAGCCTCCGTTCCTTCGGCCGCCTCCTCCCAGGCTCGCCTGCAGGACCTCGCCTGAAGCTTCAGGCTCCGGGTGAGTAGAAGGCCCTCCGGGGACGGACGGAGCGGGCAGCCCCTTAGAAGGACACGCTACCCAGGACACGCCACTTTTTTATTTGGGAAAGTCCGTTCTAATCACCAGGAAAAGATTTAGTTGCAATTCTGAAAGTCCCCAACTTCTGGCTGCTCTTCTCTGCAAAATATTCTCTTTTGATTGATTTAAAATGAATACGTACGAAATGCAATGAAACGGCATTCATATTTTATTGCATAAAACTCTAGTCAAGAATTAACAGCCAGGAGCATACCTCAAGTTGATTTGTTGGGCTTTAATACGCCAAAGATATATTTAGGAAAACATACTTGTTAGAACAGGGGTTCTCAACCTTTTTAATGCCGCGACCCCCAACCGGTCGTAAGTCGAGGACTACTCAACTGGTGCAGCACCGTTTGCAGAACGGGACTTTTGGCGGGCTCAGCAGGGCAGAGACAGCCTGGAGAATTCCTATTGGCTTTGGAAAGCCAATAGAATGAGACTCTATTCAAGAGAGTCTCTTCTATTGGCTTTCAAAAGCCAGTAGAATAAAAGGGAGTAGCACAGCTAAGGAAAAGGGGGGGAAAAATGGCGGACTGCGTTGTTTGGCGACCCCCGTGAAATGGTCGTTCGACCCCAAATGGGGTCCCGACCCACAGGTGGAGAACCACTGTGATAGAAGTTTACGTTTCTAACAAAAATGTGTAAACTGGTTATATATCCTTTGGCAGCAGTGTTATAAACAGCTAGTTATCTTCTAGCAGAATATTGTTACACCCACTTTCTTATTTTGTAAATTCAACCTCATTTGCTTAATGCAAACTCACACCATCGTTCTTGTCACTAAAACCCACTATGGCCATTTAGAGAATGAAAACAAATTTTTAAATGTCATTTCCTGTTCCAGCCAAATTTTCGCAAAGCTGCAACATATCTGATTGATGCTAAGACACTGACCCTCCCTGGGCACACTGCAGGTCAATTTGGGACTGCGAGTCTTGGAAAGGCTATTTCAACCCCCTGGAATCAGTTGGTGCCACAAGTTACTCTTAGGGCCGTGGTGGCGAACCTATGGCACGGGTGCCAGAGGCGGCACGCAGAGCCCTCTCTGTGGGCACGCACGGCATCGCCCCAGTCCTAGGCCTTCAGCTGGGTTTTATAAAACCTTTTCGCTTTAGGCCTCCGCCGCCGTGTGCAAAAAAAAAAAAAAAAAAGGTTCAATCAGTCAGTCAATTTCAACTTCTCCCGGGAAAAAAAAAGATCTCGCAAAGTTGGAATTGATTGATTGAACTTTTTAGTCCCACCCAGTCTGCCGTTACCACCGCAGCCACGCCCACCCAATGGGCCACGCCCACCCGGCACTCAATGATGCATAAGTGGGTTTTGGGTTGCAGTTTGGGCACTCGGTCTCTACAAGGTTCGCCATCACTGTCTTAGGGGCTCAATGGGTCTCCCACCTTGAAATTCAGAAAATACTGGATGTGGTTGGAGCTTTCTTCGGCACACGAGGCGACCCTGAGCCAGAAAGAAAGCAGCAATGTGCAGACCCCCCCAGGCAGGAAGGGAAGCCCCACATGGACTTGTGTGCCACTGCCATTTGTCGCAATACGCATCCTCCAGCACTGAACCAGTCTGGGTAGGCGGTATTCTCCATCATGATCAATTAAGACAGTGTTTCTCAACCTTGACAATTTTAAGGCATGTGGACTTCAACTCCCAGAATTCCACAGCCAGCATCGCTGGCTGTGGAATTCTGGGAGTTGAAGTCCACATGCCTTAAAATTGTCAAGGTTGAGAAACACTGAATTAAGAGCTGCATCTTGATAGACATATATCCCGGATTCCTAAAAACATACCTTGCTTTATTCCAAATTGGGCATTAAAAAACAAACGCTAGATAGTTGGGTTTTTTTTTTTCTGGGGTTCCTCAGGAATGTTTTAAGTGTACCGAAAGGGGTTAATTTGAGATCTTAAATGCAGAATAGGGAAAGTAGGAGGGTATTTAAGTAGTTTCTTGAAAACTCGGCAGAAAACGCTCTGTATGTATTTCCCTTTGTGGAAAAATACAGTGTTTTTGTCATTTTTATTTTTGCGTTGCCTTGAATCTCCTTCTGTGAACAGTGTCTGGTCATTACTTGACATATTTATTAATAAACGTGCAAAATATCGATAACCTGATGCAGCATCTGCCTTCTTCTTTCTGGGTGGTCTCCGCTTCGGGCCGCAAGAGAACGGGCTTTGTCGAGAGGGTCCAGAGCTTCAAAGTCCTCTCTCCCATTCCCCCCCCCCACACACACATTTTCACTCGTAAACTAAGGTTCCCCAGTGAATCAGAGCTGAGCTCCTGTGCCCTCTCTAAAGATGCTGATGGGTATTTCCACGATGGAGTGACGAGCTAAGTATGATAAATTAAGTAAGTGCAGATGGGTCACCAGTGAAAATCATGACTGTCAGTTGACGTTATAGCGCTCTTAAATGGGACTATTACAGGGAAAGTAACCTGTACTGAGAGTAGATAATCTACATTTTGAAGTTCAGGATGGTAAATTGATCCCTTTCAAATACAACTTACTCCTGTTGCTTGTGCTTTACATTCCATCTGTACGGACTGGAAGTACGGAATGGGACCCCTCTGATGCATCCCTAACACACACACACACACACACACACACACACACACACACACACACACAGCACCAAAAATGTCCCCTCGTTTTGCATTCCTGCTTGGCTTGCCAATGTCTGGGCCTAGAAGTGGGGTTATGCTTTGAGGGCTGGGATCGTGGGAATTGTTGGGCACTTCCTGAGTAAATGTCCTTGGTAGACCCGGGTGAGGAGTCTCCCACATACAGTTCAGGCATCAGCATAACAGCCAGTCTAGGGTCTCAGTTGCAGGCATATTGCGTACCTTGAATATTAGACACAAATTAAGACACAAACATGAAAACGTGCACGTGGAACAGCTTGCAGTCTAACAGGCTAGTCCTCACCAACAGTTCGCAACACATCCAGAACCTGAAAAAGTCTGCTTGGGTTTTTTTTCTTCCTCTCATTTTGAGATGCTGACCAGGCAATTTAAAGAAGGCTGTCTACTAAGGTGGCATTCATACAATGGCTGTGCAAATAGCTCACGTCTTGACGTCTGTCTCCGTTCCCGTCGAGACGTGTTTCTTGGGAAACCGGACTTTTTCCCTCTCTTTTTGGTTTGAAACATTTCGCGGCTTATCCAAGTAGCTTCCAAACTGCGAACCATTTCAAACCAAAAAGAAAAGTAGCCCAGTTGCCATCATTCAGTTTCCAGACAACGCCACCTGGATGACCGAGAATCTCCGTGAAGGCGCGTTTCTTGAAAGAATTGACAACAGCAGAGAGCACAAACTCCGTTTTCAGTCACACTTTTCAATCAAAACTTTAGTAGAAACAAACGAACATCCCGTCTGCTTAACGAAGGCCGATTCATTAAAGACAATAAGGATGGGCCCCTTGGCCAGCCACTGCTTCGTTTGTTAAGGGAAACTTAAGAGAATAGCTGCATTTTTCATTTTATTATTATTATTATTATTTTGCCTTCAGGTGACAAGAACACGCAAGGCAAGAAAAGAGCTGATTGTCCGTTGCAAAAATTAAATTTACCATTTAATCTCTCTCTAATACGCTCATGGGCCTGTGTGTGTGCACGTGCACGCACAAAGCCCCCCCCACACACACGCACGCACGCCTGATTTTGTTAATTTTGTCCATACTGAAGCCGAACAGTATTCTGAAATTTCAGATTTACAGGGAATTATTTTATAGAAAACTTGGGAAAGAAGGAATGAGGGGAGGGAATCGTCGAAGAGAGTCAAGATACTTCAATAATCTCCATGCTGCCCGAAAAGCTGGACTGGCTGCCCATTTTCCCGAGTTCTTCCCGGGACCTGTTCTCCGACATGACACTCTCCCCAAATTCCATCTGGCAACTCCTCCGCTTGAACTGCTTCTCGAAAGAGCTCTCCTCGTGCCAGCTGCGCCGGGAGTCGCCTCGCTCGCCGTGCTTCTCTCTCCTCCGCACGCCGTGCGCCTGCTCGCACCCCGTGGGCAGCTGGCTGCAGCTGAAGGCCGAGTAAGCGGTGCTGCCCCCGTATAGGGCGGACGCGGAATAAATATGGGAGGGGTCGGCAGTGAAGTACCAGCTGCCGGTCAGGGAAGCCGCGGAGGTCGGAGGGGCTAAGATGTCCGAATGCCAGCCTTTCAGGCCCAGCCCCGCGGCAGACTTGGCCAGGTGCTGCTGGCTGGTGGAAAGGCCAAAGACGAAGTTGGTTCTGTAATTATCTTCCACGCTGCCACTTCGATGAAGCGGGTATAAGGACGGCCGCTGAGCGGGACAAGCCGTCCTGCCCAAATGTTGCCGCTTGCCCTGGCTGTCCAGCGGCCGGCCCTGCTGGGGCTCCTCCGGCAGCTTGGCCTGCTCCTTGCCAGGACTGCCCTCGGGCGTCTGTTCCGAAACCTCCTGGACCGGCGAGAACTGGCACAGTTTGCTGCCCGCTTCCAAAGTGGCCGAATGCTTGTAGTACTCCAGCATGTCCCCGTCCAGGGAGGGGCAGCCCGGTCCCGAAGCGGTCAGGCAGACGCTGCTGCTGCCGCCGCTGGTGCAAGAGACAGACTTGATATCCAGGGAGAAGGAGCGCTTCAGTCGGTTGCTGTCTTCCACTTTATCGGAGGGGACGTTTAATCCGGTTCTGCCTTGCACGGAGGGGCTGCCCTCTACAGGGGGCAGAGAGGGGGGAGCCGGTGGGTTTCCCGGCTGCAGGGGGTTCTGCTCCGCGTTCTCTGAGGTAGAGGAAGCACCGAGCAGAGAAGAGGCCCGCAGGATGGCAGGGGGCCCTCCGCCTGCTCCGTGGTGGCTGCCATTTTCCAAGTGCAAAAGCTGGAGCTTGCTAACAAGTCCACTGCCGCCCTCCTGGCTCTGGATCTTCTTCTCAAAGTCCAGAAGTTGACCGAGGAAGTTGAAGTTCGGAGAAATGGTGGGCCTCTTCTCCTTCACGAACCTGAAGGGAATTCCAGAACGAAAAGGGAATTCAGCCGATTGACCTTGAGCTCGGGGCTTGAATGGTGCATGCAAAATATTCCCTGAGGTTGGCTACGCTAGGCCAGCAGTACTTTCCAAGCTAATCTAAGGTCACCCATTGTGCAGCTATTTAAAACACACCCTTGTTGGAAAGCAAAGTCACCTTTGACCGTCCACGTAGGTTCTGCTTCCTTAAATAATGATCTGGCAATTGCATGCAGGGCTCTTTGCTCTCCTTGCAATTCTTCTTCGAAATCATTCTTTTATGAATCAGTCTATCTGTCTGTCTGTCTGTCTGTCTATCTATCTATCTATCTATCTATCTATCTATCTATCTATCTAACTATCTATCTAACTATCTATCTATCTACCATCGTCTGTCTGTCTGTCTGTCTGTCTATCTATCTATCTATCTATCTATCTATCCATCCATCCATCCATCCATCCATCCATCCATCCATCCATCCATGTCCAGTCCTGGCCTTCTGCAACTGATCTGCCCTGACCACATGGAAGCCATTTTTCCAACCAGGACGCTGGAAATAGTTCAGTCCCACCTGCCTGGATGAGTTTCTTCAGGATGAAAAGAGCTGTTTCCCCTTCCTTACCTGTAGGCCTCATCTAAGGACATATCCATCCTTTTCATTATATAGGCAATGGCAATTGTGGCTGAACGGGATATTCCAGCTAAACAGTGGACTAGGACACAACCGTTCGAAGCTTTTGCTTTTTCTGTGGCAAGCAAAGAGAAACAAAAATCAATCTGGGATACTCCAAAGAGGAGGAAAATCAGAAGCACATAGAGAATCAGAATCATCTTTGTTGGTGGGAGAAGTAGAGAGAGGAGCTATTTCAGGAGTCTTCAAGCTCGGCCCTTTTATGACTATTATTATTATTATTATTATTATTACAAATTAGCAATAGAAACATCCCTGAGAAAATGGCGGGAATGGGAGAAGAAGGAACTTATCATGTTCAAAAGGTAACCCAAGGCACTCCTAAAAACCAAGCATGCTTTTCCTGTGATCATGTATCAACTCAGCCTTTATGGAAAGCAGGCACATGGGAAAGGCCCAACTAACTTAAGGAATTGGCAACCAGGTGCCACTCCAGTCCCTAATAATTGTGACAGGCTGCCTTCTCTGCTACACCAGGGGCATCTGCAAGAGGGAATCAGAACGTCAGGATGCAGCTACAACTTAAAAAAGAGTGGTGGCTAAAAAAAAGCCACTACGCTTGTCTTCGACTTCCTGGAGAAGAACCTGATGCTGGGAAAGATGGAGGGCAAGAGAAGAAGGGGACGACAGAGAATGAGGTGGCTGGATGGAGTCACTGAAGCAGAAGGCGTGAGCTTCAATGGACTCCAGAAGATGGTAGAGGACAGGAAGGCCTGGAGGAACGTTGTCCATGGGGTTGCGATGGGTCGGACACGACTTTGCAACGAACAACAACACGCTTGCCTTTTGACCTTTCCTTAACGTCCTTGCTGCTGCTGAGATGGAAGCCCTTTCTCAATCCCTAGACACCTCACCTGAAAACGGGGGAAGGAAACGCATTCTTGGAGTTGCAAAGAGACCTCTGCTCAACTCAGACCTTTACCTATGAAGTCCACGGACTTGTCCAGCCACGGAAAGATTTTCTCACAGAAGCTGTCGTTCACCGGCACCCTTAAGAAGTGGGATTCTGGGATGAAGTCGGGTTTGGGACACGTGTTGCTGGCGTTTAACACGTAGCCAATCTCATTCTGTTGCATGAGCTCCTGTGAAAAGAAGTCTTATGCATACATAACTTTTGTTTTCACGCGGCTCACATCCCTGCTCTCCGGAGGTGGGAGATTCCTCATCCAAGCCACAGTGCTTGGAGAAATTGCCCCCCCCCCTCTAAAGCCTTCCAAAGGCCACCTGCGATGGGGCTAAAACATCAGAAGAGTGGGGAGGGAAGGCATCACTAATAGCAGGGGTCTTCCAACTTGGCCCTTTTATGACTTGTGGACTTCAACTCCTAGAATTCGTCAGCCAGCTTCTGGGAGTTGAAGTCCACAAGTCATAAAAGGGCCAGGTTTGAAGACTCCTGACTAATAGCAAGGATTGGCAGATCCCATCAGATTACACTGTTACAGGGAAGGGATCCAACGTGTGTCCACCCTACTCAAGTGAGAGGGGCAACAGAGAGGCGTCCTACATGACCCAGTGTCTTCCTTGAGTTTGCATTGCCTGTAACCAAGGATAGCCCCAATTTGCCAAGTGTTTAGGGGGCTGATGAAGCTTGCCCTGCTCAAGGACACCCTGATCTCTCCCCGTCCCATTGCCTGCCTACCTTGTTGAGGACATCTCTTTGGCACCCCAGATACAAGTGGGGGAGGATCCGGGTGGGCCCCGTGTTGGAAACCGGTAAGCAAGGCTGCGAGATGCAGGAAGGCACCAGGATAGATTTTCCTTCACAAAGGCCCGGGAAACAATTGGAAAATTCAGCAAATCCACCTGGAAGAAAGAAGCACACGGTTTTCCAGTTTTCGTTTCAAATAGCAACAGCAACATCCAACTCAAATCGCTTCCCTAATTTGCTAATGAAGTTCAGCTTGGCTTCCGTGTTTGTTCTCCCAACACATTTTTTTGCTTTTATCTTCAGGGCAGCTGAAAAAGCAAAACCACACAGGATCCCTTCTCCAGAGAAACACTTTGACATCAAGAAAGAGCAAAATCTCCCCAAACACAAATGGAAGCCCTTGCCACTTCAATAAGAGCTTCTCAAAAAGTCCCTCTAACTACAAAATTCACACAAAATTCACAAAATTCAAGGAGACTTTGGTTCTCTCCTCCTTGTGACAACTTGTCTCTCAACAACCAGATCCCCAAATTCTTTACAATTGTGCAACATGTTTTTGATATGCAATGATATGCACATTGCAAGTTCCATTCACCCACAGGAGAACTCGCATTCAGCCCTGTCAATTCTGTTATGATGTCACCAGGCATATGACACAGATTATGTACATTTTAGGTGCCCACAATGTTGTTATGGCTTATTCCATGCATCTGTGCGGGGATTGGGCACGTTAACTACAGTGTTGCTTTAGGACTCCCATCTGAGTTCAGAATTGTCATCTATCACACTTATCTAGATTGATTTAGCATTAAAGTAAAGCCTCATGTAAGCATGAAAGGTCTTATAGCGAATGCAGAATTAAGTTTCCAACTTGGACAAAGATCTGATTGATTAAATTGGCCCTCCAGGTCCACGAAAGCAGAACAGGACAGGCCTCCCACCAGAACTTCTGAAATACTGGGCCAGTGTGTTTCAAACTTGGCCACTTTAAGATGTGTGGACATCAACTTCTAGAATTCCTTATTTATGCTATCAAAAAAAGAGAAATATTTTAAAAAGGACATACTATCAACCTGAGAGACTAATGTTATAATTTTTGGATGAGGACAGTGAATAGTTTTAAGGATATGACTTAAAAGAAATGATGCCAACGATCAAATAAACCCATTTTCCCCCCACTGTTGTGGTGCCCCCTCTGCAATTCAGTAACACAACCTAATTTGTCATGTTATTTTAGGCACATGGGATTATTTATGGGCTCTTATCACATCCACCCTCTGGGTTCACCTGAGAACTCAAGTCCAATCTCAATACCACTGGAGTTGCAAATCACTGGAAATACGTAATTACATTACAAAAACAGGGTTAAACCAAATGTACCAACGTGCATGCATGTGAACGAATGAGGGTGTGAGAGCTGCTACTGGGCAGAAAGTTCAAATTATTGCTCAGTTGTATTCACTTCTCTGTTCATGATCAAAATGTTTATAAGAATAATGAGAAAGAGATTCAAAGTCCATTTAAGCCTGGTGGACCAACCTCAGACTCTTACATCACAACCAAAGAGCCAAGTTAGGACTCAACTAGGACCATTGCCTGACCACACATGCTCTATTCCAGTGTTTCTCAACCTTGACAATTTTAAGGCATGTGGACTTCAACTCCCAGAATTCCACAGCCAGCATTGCTGGCTGTGGAATTCTGGGAGTTGAAGTCCACATGCCTTAAAATTGTCAAGGTTGAGAAACACTGCTCTATTCCCTCTCATCTCTTCATAATTGCAGAAATCATTCTGCCTCTACCTAATTAAATAACCACAGATGGGAAGGAGTGACCCAGGATTGTACATTGCGCTCTACATCATGAGGCCTGTTAGACTAGAACAGGGGTCTTCAAACTTGGCCTTTTATGACTTGTGGACTTCAACTCCCAGATTCCTCAGCCAGCATGTCATAAAAGGGCCAAGTTTGAGGACCTCTGACTAGAAGGAAGAGGAATTGGAATTTAAAAGGTTGCAAGACATACTAACAACCTCAGCTGTGCAGAGGAGAGCTCTCCAATGGCTGGAACTTGTTGACGGTGAAAAGATACAGTTGGTAAAAGCTGGTCTGCTGCTTAACGTTTATCCCAAACAAACTAAGATTGTATCCGTGGACAATGTCAGTCCATGGTAAATAGGAAGAATAGAGGCAGCAAACTTTAGCCCCAATTTTTGTAGGGATGGTGAGTGGAGTCATGAAAAAAAAATGTCTGTTTTTTGGGACAAAGACTTTGGCAGATCTAGACAAAATATTGAAGGGCAGAAAACAACACACCGATAGCAAAGATCCATTTTATCAAGGCCTTGGCCCTCCCAGCGATAATGTACGGCCGTGAAAAATGAACCATGAACCCTTGGAAGGGCTGAGTGCAGAACAACTGATTGTTAATTGTGATACTGGGGAATATTGCTGAGAACACATCAGACTGAACAAGAACGAATAATAGACAAAATAAACGTAGAAGCACTAAAATAAAACTCAAACTTAAATATTTTGAACATATAAAGTCAAGGCAAAAGACCTTGAAAAACACAACGCGCTTGGAAAAATGGAAAACAATTTGGGAATGTACCATCACTGTTGAAACAAACATGACTTTACAACAGGGGTCTTCAAACTTGGCCCTTTTATGACCTGTGGACTTCAACTCCCAGAATTCCTCAGCCAGCATTAGTTACAGAATAGTAACTAATATTACTGTCGCATTAGTTCTTGTAGTAGTAGGTTTTTTATGTAGAAATTAATATTTACTAAACTGCAACCCAGCAAAAACCATGCAGTTGTGATCACAAAGTTGTCAAGCTTGGAATCTGACTTATAGGAGAGTTGAATTTTGCAGAAGGAAATGCCAAAATTTAAGTGGCAGAGGACGTCCTGGACAATTGCACTTTATTGGAGATATCTGATTTTCCATCAAGGAGATTATGTTAATGAATATCACCAACACAGAAGAAAATGTCCATTTTGTCAAGCTATTTCTTACCATTTTGTTTAGGACAAGACACCTCAACTTGGGAGGTTCAAGAATATGCTCAATTCTCTTTATCAATTTGGTAAAAACAGAGATTTTGTTTTTTTCCTTAATCCGTGGGCCTTTAGTCTGTCACTAACCGACTTCCAGCTGTTTTATTTAGTTGGTGGTTTCTGAATATTTCCCCATGTTAATACAACATGCAGCGTTTCCAGCGCTGTCTGGTTGAGTTTATTACTTGTGGCTGCAATTCTCGGAGGGGTGTTTAATGAAACCAACTCAAGGCGCCAAAAGCCTTTTGTGGTGAAGAAAACTCCAACAGCTTTTGTTTTTCAGAAACCCAACACCTCCTGTAACTTTGCACACACAATCTAGGCTTGTGGGCTTTCCAAGTCTTTAATGATCTGGCTGTTGAGCATGGGGAGAAAAACCGGGGAGTGGGTTTCAAAGCCTCACTCTGATTAACACCCATGTTTTTCCTCTGACTAGGGCAAGATCAAGTTCAAGATCCATGTGCTTTCCTTCAAGGAATTCTCAACAGTGCTGAACTGGTAGCAGTTATCCCTTAGGAACAGCATGGGAGAAAAAGAAGTGTACATATCTGTATCTGTTCTCATCTTTTCTGCCCCCTAAACTAGTGCTTCTCCACCTTGGCAATTTTAAGATGGGTGGACTTCAACTTCCAGAATTCCCCAGCCAGCTGTGCTGAGGAATTCTGGAATTTGAAGTCCACAAGTCATAAAAGGACCATGTTTGGAGACCCCTGTATTAGCAGTTCATTCCGGAAGTGGATCAGGTGGTTAACTTGATTACTACCCTCCATTACTCATGAAAAAAAGAAACAAGTCGCAGAGAAGTAGATTAAAAGAGTTCAGTGGTAGAGAACAAATAATTATCATTTCTTGCTCTAGCTACTATGCACAGATGTTTTGAATTTTTAAAAGCCAGCTCCAGGCATCTCCCACCCTGACGGAAACAAAGAGATGTCTCCCCAGATCAAAAACACTGTGATACGTCTTGGAGCTTTTCGTTTCAATGTCTTTGTTTTTGCAAAATTCATCCAAACTACGCCACAATCAGATCGGAGATGCCAGCAAACATAGTTTCCAGATCTTGCTGTCCAGAAGGCGAAGCCAGCAGACAACTGGGGTGGACCGAAGGGTTCAAGTGAGTAGCAAAGCTAAAGAAGAAGCCTGTAGAAGCTGAACTATTTAGCCAGGAGGAACTCAAGTAACATGGCTTCCAAAGGCTCTGAACAGAAGATTAGCAATAATCTGATCTGATCTAATCTAATCCAATCCAATCTAATTCAGTCTAATCTAATCCAATCTAATGATTTAGGAAGTGAAGGTGACCAGACCTTCTTCGAGAGAGCCCTGAGCTTCTCATAAGATAACCTTTATTGTCATTTTTTTTACTGTGGGCACAATGGCACACATCAAAAATGAAATTTAGTTGCCCGCTCTCAAAGTGAAACATACATGACACAAACCTAAACGTACTATGTTCAACATACGTATAGATCTATACTCCTACATCAGTGTTTCCCAAACTTGACAATTTTAAGGCATGAGGACTTCAACTCCCAGAATTCCACAGCCAGCGTTGCTGGCTGTGGAATTCTGGGAGTTGAAGTCCACATGCCTTAAAATTGTCAAGTTTGGGAAACATTGTCCTACATATACATTACAAATATTAAACACTGTCCATCTTGAATATATAACGGAAGGAGGAAGCTTGAGAGTTCACAAGGTTAATGCTGTATGGAATGAAACTATGGTTGAATCCAGATGTTCTGCTTCGGATACCACGAAGCCCCCTCCTCCCAGAAGATAACAAGGAAAACAGGTTGTGAAGAGGATGTGTAGTGTCCCATACAATTTTGTGGACCCTGCTCAAGCAACGTTTCTGTGCTATATCTTGGATGGGAGGGAGGGAGCTGCCAATGATCTTTTCTGCTGTCCTCACCACTCTCTGCACCGCCTTCCTGTCCGAAGCAGGGATGCCTCCAAACCAGACTGTGATGCTGTATGACAGGATGCTCTCGATCGTCCCCCTGTAGAAAGTGGTCAGGACCGGGGAAGGAAGATGTGCTTTTCTCATGCGACGCAGAAAATGCAGGCGCTCCTGTGCCCGCTTGGCC